CCCCGCAGGCTCCAGGGGAGGGTCCTTGCCCGTGTCGCCAGCTTCCGGGGGCCCCAGCGCCCCTGGGCCCTGGCCGCATCCCTACCGTCTCTGTTCCATTTTCACACGCGTGTCTGCTCTCTCTCCGTGTCTCTTCTCTTTTACGAGGACACCACTCAGATGGGATCACAACCCACCCTCCTCTCGTGTGATCCGTTCATCGATAACATCTGCAGAGACCCCATTACCAAACAGGGTCCCGTTCCCAGGTCCCAGGGGTTAGAACACCCACAAGGCCATGGACACAGCTCCAGGAGTTAGAACGCCTGTGAGGCCACATTCATGGTTCCCAAGGTAAGGTCTGCAACAAACGTGCAAATCTGCTGCAAAAGACTGAAGGCGATTGGCCAGCCTGCCTTCCAAGGAGCGGCTGATGGGTTTGAACCGCCAGCCTTCTGGTTAGCAGTCAAGTGCCTTAGGCACCATGCCAGCAGAAAACACTTTAGAGTGTGAAGAAACAAAGACATCCCCTTGAGGACTAAGGTGTGCCTGACCCAAACCATGGTATTTTTGGTGGCCTCACATGAACGGGAAAGCCGGACAGGAAACCTGGAAGACCAAAGCGGAATGGACCCCTTTGAATTACAGCGTTGATGGGGAGTTCCAGAAACCCCACGGACTGCCGGGAGGGAGGACAAGTCTGTCTCGGAGGAAGTGCAGCCACCCCTGCAAGTGAGACGGCCAGACGTGTCGTCAGGAGGACAGGGACCTAGTGCTTGGTGGAGGAGGAGGTCTGAGAAAGACAGGAGCCCCTCGATGGGACGGGCGGCTACAGAGATGGGGTGGAGCAGAGCGAGGATGGGGGGCTCGCGCAGGACGGGGCACGGGGTCCCCTGAGTCAGAGCCCACCCGACGGCAGCCAGCAAGGACCGCGAGCCAAGAGGACAGTCTCTGCACGCGGCTTGGAGAAGAGCCCTGAGCCCTGGACGCCAGGGCCTGTGCCCGGCGCGGCGGCCGGTGCCCTCTGCGCGGTGCAT